TTGTAAATAAACGAAGAAAAACACTAAAATCGCCAAGTATTTGTGTTGCTTGACTGAAATGTAGAAGTTTTGCATACGCTAATTATAGAACTACAACGTAATTTCATCTCGGCAAGCGGGACGAAATACTCCATATGAACGCACGGAAATATTCGTCTCGGTAAGCGAGACGTCCCGGTAAGCGGGATCATATGAACAGGCCCAAAGACAGTAAATCACAGTCAAGTAGATTAATTTATATCATTTATTACTCTGACAATAAACACTATATAAACAGCCATCCAAAACATGTTGTGGTTGAATTTTACCTTAAATTGAAGCTTGTATTACGTATAATGTATATACCTAACATATATATGTTGGGAAATTGATAATTTTGTAATTTAAAGTGATATTTTTAGGCGATTTTCATTTGTAAGAATCACAGGTTGCCCGATAAGCGGCTGGTTTTATCGTTTTATAGCTGTTATCATTGATAAGCTTTATAGCATTAACTGCATGAAGTATAGCCATGGTCACTCAACCGCTGACATAACAACGCAGCCGTGCGCAAGCGAAGCGTATCGCAATGATTAGGTATATATATATACTAAAAGGTTGGCAACTTCCGGGCGGCGTTTGACCTATACGATCTATATACACAAACTTACACATGAAAATACCCCAACTTAAACACAAAAACTTGGAAAAAAAACTAACTCTAAAAAACATTGATTTCTTTAAAGCATTTGACAAGTATTTTTTTCGCTTTAAAACAATTGCAAACACGAGAACTTTGAGGAAATATAAACGGTTTCGGGCTTGAAATGGCGAACAGCTGTTGGGATGCACAAAACCTGCCTGACGTCACAGATCCTAAAGATCCCATTGGCTAGATAAAATAAACAAACTTTTTGCGGGAACATCAAATTTCTCGCCGCCACGGGGGGATTTTCTTAAAAAATTTCCAAAAGCAACAAGTCGCAAATAGATTAGGAAATTTATACAAAGAGGAAAAAAATTAAATACCTTGTTGCGCGAGCGCGAAATAAGAAAAGTTTTGAAAGAAGGCAAGAACAGCTTTGACAGGTAAATAGCATTTGTTTTTTACTTTATCTCATATAAAATAGCGTCTAAATTTCAAGTATTTTCACTCCCGAATTCACTTCGTAAAGACATTTATACTACATGGCGAACAGAGGAGAAGCTTGTATTAAAACAAAACATTGCATTATTTAAAAAAGCCTTAAAAAGCACAAAATAACAATGTGAGGATATTAAAGAAGACAAGAGACAACTTTGATAGGTAAATTCCATTTGTCTTTTGCTTTTTCTCATATAACATAGCGCCTGAATTTCACGTATTTTCACTCCCGAACTTACTTCGTATTTGTATATAAATAAAATACATATAAGCCCAAGGAGAAACTTGTTATTAAAAATAAAACGCTATTTTTTTTAAAAAAGCACATCGATTCAAGCACGAAATAAAAATGTGAGGATATTAGAAAAGGCAAGCAAAAGTTTTGAAAGGTAAATTCCATTTTTCTTGTGTTTTATCTCATAGAAAATAGCGCATGAATTTCACGTATTTTTATTCGCGAAATGATAAAATATATGAATGTACGGTACTTCAAAGAGAAACTCGTAAAACTTAAATACTTTTAACAAACTTCATTAATAGTTTGAATGGAAAACAATCCAAAAATAAGGAAAGAAGCTTGGTCCAGAAGAAAGTGCTTGGTTTGGTAAATGAAATTGGTATATCTTTTATTAATTTTAAAATATTTGTTATAATAATCTGCAAACTTGTGTTTGTTTTATTAATAAAGCGAGAACAATGGCAGAATCCTGTTATGTTAAACTGCATGTGCAACAATTTATATTAAATATACGCAAGGACAAGTTGCATGAGCAAAGTCTGTCTATTCAGCCTAGCTATTTTATGTTATGTATATGAACTAAACTTGATTGCCGGCATTTTACAATAGCTTTATGCCTATATTTCGAAAACAACTGTACGGGCTATACGCCGCCAACGACAGACTCACTCTATCTCGAAAATATTGCACGCTCGGAAATCAGTTTATTTACGGATTCAGGCCCACACAGAAATTTGTATTTCAAACATCAGACGGCTATTAAACATTTATGCTGTACTTATGAGATTGTTTTAAAACTCACTTACCAAGTAAAATGGCAATTGATTGCAGACTGGAGTGTCTGACAAATATTCCTTTTTCCGAGCGACCAAGTTGAAACCATGCAACCGTATAACCGTTCCAAAGGCAAAATCCAAATGTTTATTATTATTACAGTAAATGCGTTTCAATGTCCACACAAGTGTTTTTAAAACAATGCACGATTTCTTAAAACGCTCTGTTTGTGAAAGCAAATCCATTTTCATCCAGACTGAGGTCCACTGAAAAGCAATTCGATCCCAGCCATGTAGAAAAAGCAAGTACATATTCTTTTTCAAATGACACCAATAAGTAAAAGACTGATTTAAAAAGGGATTCTTGAGAAGATGTACTTTTGCTTAAATCCAACTAAAACGATCGCAAACAACCATAAAAAAAAACTAAAAAAGGAAGCACACGCCGTAATTGACAGTTAATGTTAGAATGTTATTTTACAGTCACGTGGGCTATCATGTGATGCTGCCGGCTTGCGGGGAGGGGGAGGTGCGGCAAAAGTAATTAGGGGCCGACCATTTAACTTTTGAGGAGAGGGGGGGGGAGTGATTTACTGCTGGCAGGGAATTTTTTTTCTGTGATAGTTATTTGCAAGATATTTTTTTCTTACCCATAACCATGTACGATTTGTTTTTGCCACTCTCTTTCGCAGCATTTTTTTTCAATAGCTTATACTGTTTAGATTCTTTAATTATAGTTAACGTTGAGTTTTCTATAGCTTCATGCATTGCTTAAAACGATCGCAAACAACCATAAAAAAACCTCAAAAAAGAAGCACACGCCGTGATTGACTGTTAATGTTAGAATGTTATTTTACAGTCACGTGGGTTATCATGTGATGCTTCCGGCTTGCGGGGAGGGGTAGGTGCGGCAAAAGTAATTAGAACTTTATGCATAAATGATTATAACACAACTTCATTGCATGGCATCTAAAATTTTCATCGCCAATTTCCCATCGGAATGTAATGGTCACGAAAAGCCTAAACATAGAATTTTATTGTATAGGCTCATGGGGGGCATGCCCCCCCCCCAAAAAATTTGGATTTCTTGAAGCTCAGATAAGCTATTTCCAGCATTTTGAGGAGTTTTCCGACAAGAAATTAACCTTACATTAGTCCCTAAAAATCAAACCAGCTGATCTTCTGGGACTGGTCAAATCGATTCCTGCAACCATGCTGTTTTGCAACTGATAGTTAAATGGTCGGCCTCTTGGAACTTTATGCATAAATTAATGATTGTAACAAAATTTCATTGCATGGCATCTAAAATTTTCATCGCCAATTTCCCATCGGAAAGTAATGGTCACAAAAAGCCTAAACATAGAATTTTATTTTATAGGCTCATTGACTGATTATTATGACGAATAATGTGGACTAAGGGGCAGGAAGATGCATTGAAGGCGGCTAAGACTGGACATAACCTTTGTATATTTGGGAAGTCAGGTGGGTACTACCAAGTAAAGTATTATTACGTACATGGTGGAGACATGGTTATGCTTAGAACGTGCACAATTGAAAATAATTTTTGGAATATATATTTTTTCTTTTCCTACAACAGGATGCGGAAAGTCAACCATTATAAAAGAAATTAATAAGACCCTTACGCAAAGCGGGAGAGTATGCAAGATTGTGTGTCCAAGTGGGGTAGCTTGCAAGGTTTACGATGAATTGGCAGCGACTGTCCACTCCTTTTATGGGCTGCAAACTGCAGAATTACCAGCGCCGTTGGTCATGCAACAATCACTTCAGCGAAACGATGTTGTCAACCAGATACAGTCTGTGGACGTTTTAGTTTGGGACGAGATTTCGATGTCAAGTTTACGGATTTTCCACATCGTAGATCTGCTACATCAGAAAGTTCGGAACAATTCACTTCCCTTTGGTGGGATACAAGTGATACTAGGAGGCGACTTTTGTCAGCTAAAGCCGATCCAAAGTTTGTTAGACCCTGGAGATCCAATCTATAAATCTGTTCTTTTAGGCACGGTTTTCCCGCATAGAATTGTTTTGGAAAAGATTATGAGGCAAAGTGAGTTTGAAGGGGATTTTAAGAAAGCTTTGGACAGTTTACGAATGGGGGTATGCGATGTTGACACGGAAGCATATCTTTGTGGTTTGTCAAGACGCTGTGTTGATATTGGAGACAACGTACCACCGCCTATCCATATCTTTTTCAAGAAGTTACCTGTAGAAGTGCACAATTCCTATATGTTATCTTGTCTCTCAGGAGAAATGTTGAAGTACGAAAGTATTGACACAGGACGGACTGGCCTCTTGAAAAACACTGTCCCTAAGGTTTTAATGCTGAAACGTGGTTGTAAGGTAATGCTTTTATTCAACATTTCGAAATCGTTAACCAATGGAACTTTGGGCACGTTCATTGATGCAGATCAAACAGACAGTAAGAACGAAAGTCTCCTGATCAAATTTCCCAACGTTGGAGTGGTTTCCATTCCTCGGAAAACTTGGTACGCATACAGGAAAGATGGGCAAGTTCAAGCATCTCGGACACAGTTTCCCTTGAGCCTCTCATATGCCATCACCGTGCACAAAGCACAGAGTGCTACGCTGGAAAGTGCTGTCGTCCATTGCAGCCAGGAGTTTGACGCTGGTCAAACGTATGTAGCGTTGTCGAGAGTCAGATCCGAAGAAAGGCTTCAAGTTATCGGCTTCCAGAAACGATTTCTGCTAAAGCAACCGGCGCATATCAAGCAAATTCACAGCGCGCAGCACGGTGATCCTGTCTCGTCATTCACGTGTTGTAGAAATAAAGTACTGGAGAGTACCAATTGTGAGTTGGATCGTGAAGAAGACCCATCACTGATTAACGATGAAAATTCAATTCAGGTTGATGAAGACCTGCTAAACCACGAAGAACTGATTTTAAAATATTTTGCATCAAACCAAGGAGTGAAACAAAACTTTAATCAAATTCTCCAACATATGACCAACGCCGAAGAAGATTAGGAACCTCAACATCCTCCATTGACCCAACCACCAGATGATTTCGTTGTGAAAATTTCTTGGAGACATTGACAAAGGATGAAAACGTGGATACATTAAGTCAATCCATCAAAGAAGCCGCACAATATGGAATCGCAAATCTGGAAATATTTGAACTGTTAACTAGAGTTCTTTGGTGCAGGGTGATTCATCTTTTCGAGGGTTATCTGTCAGAGAATGAAAAGGAAGTGCACATGTCGGCTGCAAATTTCACACAAGTTACAAGAAAGTTGAACGAATTGTTTCTAACGAACGAATACAGAAGTGACATAATGACGGCGTTTAACCTCAGGAATTGGTCAGAACTCACTTGTGGTCAGCGAATTTTGGGAGCACAACTTCTGTTTCATTTGTACCAGATGTGTGTTGCTGAAATCAGCAAATCTGTTCTGTTGAATGAGGAAGAAGAGTCGCACGCCCTGAAAGTATCAGACATGGGTCCGGATGGAAGGGGAAAAATTTGGTATCTTGGCGGATGGGCAACGCATAAGTTGTTGGAAAAGTCCCGAAGATATGTCGTGGAAAACAGATATTCCACGTCACAAGAAGTCCTCGATAAGGTCGTCAAAGAAATGAAGAAGGTCACTCTGTTAGAGGATAACGTCGTTGTTTCGAGTCAGTTCATGCAGGAAACCTGAGAAGTTCCAGAAACCCTACAAGTTACTGAATCAAGACAATACCGAGAACGTGGGCTACTCAACATATCTGACTCGGCGTACGAGTTTTTCCTACTCTTGGAACAACATAGGAACAACCACATCAATTTCAATCGACTTGCTCAGCTTGGATCCGACTTGATTGATGATTCTGTCGCCTCAGTTACCAGGAACGAAGTTGTACAAAATATGTTTCTGAATCTTTTCTGGTTAGATAATGCAGAAGAAAGGGGAGGTACAGAATCATAACAGATGTTTATAATTTTATACATAACACAATGTTCCTAAGAACAGTGCACGTGACAAGGCATTTTTTAATACCATGGACTGGTGGGGCATTTGCCCCACTGGGCCCCTTCCTCTGTCCCACCACTGAAGAAAAATAATGGCCTATTGCCCCAAAGCCAGGGCCCTAGGATCTGTATTGAGTTAATGAATTTAACATTGAAAAGAAGTTTAAAAAACAAAATTTGTTGGTGCGCATACTTAAACTTATGTTGTGTTTGAATGTTTATAGCATGTAATTTATTACAAATGCTATTTCAGAGACTCCAATTTTAACAACTTCCTGGGAGCATGCCCCCAGACATCCTAGCTGACTCGTGCCTTCGGTACTCGGCTCACACCTTCGGCGATCGCAACTATTCAGAGGGGAGGGCAAGGAGAGAATGGGCCCCCTTAATTAGCCCCACCACTGACGAATCCTTAAAAATGCACTGGCACGTGAATTCGATGATCATAAGAATTGGTAAATACATTATTGAGAAAAATTATCGATATTATATATATATACATATATAGAAGGTTTGGTAAGTGAACGACGGATCAGAATAATACAATACTTAGACCAAACCGCCGGAGGACCTGAATTGCATTTTTCGCAACGTTCCCGGTTTGGTCTTAAATATTGTAATATTCTGATCCTTCGTTCTTCCAACAAACCTTCTACATATAGTTCAGTTGATAAAAACGAAGGGAGTGCAAATCAAAAAATAATCCATAAGTGATATCATATATATCTAAATATTTTTTGTTACAGGTTTTGGTATTAGAATTATACCATGATATCGTGTTGCGGTACCTGAGAATGGGCGTTGGTCAATTCCTTCGGGATTTCCGAAAGGACTACAAATTAAAGAAGTCCCTCGCACACCGGAAAGCTGTTCTGCAGAAAAAGGAGAAAGCAAACGTGAAAAAAATGAAAGTACACATGCCACAAATCGAACAGGACAAAAGTAGCAACAAGCAACTCTCTCATTTGCAGCTTCGTGCCTTGGTGGGCAATATAAAGGCAGTAGGAATGAGAGCCATGTAAAGTAAAAAAGAGTTGCAACAACTTTGTGATGCATACAATGTGCGGTTCATGTCAAGATGGAACAAAATCGAACTAGCAAGCAATCTGGTCGAAGCTGTTATTGGGCACGAGTCAATGCCATCTCCTCAGGTTTTGTCACATTATCGAGCAGTTCTTGTTGGGGAGGAGGAGAACAGAATTCCCGTTCTACGCATTACACGTTTGTAAATAAACCTTCGTTGAACAATATTATTTATTACATGGATAATAATTGTTATATTATGATCTTTTTATTGAACAATAATATTTCAAACAATATAGCTCAATATCTGTGTGTTCGAACTTTTAGCAGCCAGTATATATGGAGAGGGGGATATAGGCTGGGTAATTACCCCGGGTCCAAAATGGGCCCGGGCTCATTTGTTGTATTGAGGGAAACAAATGAAATGAGAAGACGTCAGGTTAAATAAACGTCTCTGTAGACCTTATGCATAATTACGTCACAAGACTTGATGCCCACGAGGAATGCTGGTCTTAGTCGTCATCTCCCGGGAAAATTTCGATAGTGGCCATTTTGAATTGTTTAATTTTCCCTGGTGATGACTACTAAGACCAGCATTCCTTGCGGGCATCAAGTCTTGTGACGTCATTACGCATAAGGTCTATTGTCCCGGGGCCCACTCTACCTCTCGACGGCCCTGTACAAATATGTTTCTGTGTTTGATGCTCTTTGCACTTGTATTTATAATTATAATGTCAGGCGTATTTTAGACTTCTGATTTTTACATTTGTTTTTCGCGGAGAACAACTTCTTTTTCGGTAACTCCGTGAAAGATGAATTTTCAGCTGTACCCGTGTTGCATTTCTTGCTGACGGTTCTTTGTCCAAAGACGATTGAATTTTGGGTTGCCTGAGTCAGCAGGTAGGTAGGATTCTCGTTTTGTCCGTTTGCCGCCCTCAATTGGCAAAAATGATTCTCAACTACATCCTGATTGATAACAGCTGGTTTTATGATTGATCCAGGAAATTGTAACAGCTTGATTTTCACTAAAGAGATCATTCCCAAGATCATGGCTTGTAAATCAAACCATAGTTTGAACGAGACAAATTCGTCACTCTTCAAGACACTTGCCTTCCACTTAGAGAAGTACGACAACGTAGAGATCAAACTCTGAAGTCTAGTGTCGTTAGAGTCGTAGATTGCTTGTTTGCTTGAGAAGAATTCTACCATAAAACTGGTATGCTGTAAGAACATGATGCTCCCATTCAGTCGCGACGCATGTTCTTGGTTTTCAGAGCATTCCAAATGATTCTTGTAAGCCTATACATATTTATATAGAAGTAATGATTGAATAAACAGTTCATACTAATTGTCCTATAGCTATGCAAATTATAGGTTATTTTGATTATTCAAAATATGAAATTACGTTATTAGTTTTTGTCATACACACGTACTTTCATTAAAAAGAGCATCTTTTTGTCCAGAACATCTTCCGCCAAGTTATTTCTCATACGTGAGCTCGGTGTTAACTGAAAGTGATCCTCCTTTAGTTTTTCATGAATAGGGCAGGAATGTTGACTTTGGTCCCACAAATATGTATCCTTCCAAAACCGCCAAAATATATGATCATCTCCATTTTTCAAGCATCTTGCTGACCCAGAGGCCGAGCTTTTCTCTAGATTGTTTCTCAACTTTTTGATATTGTGCTAGTAAAAACAAAGACTAACATTAGTATTATTAGGTATTGAATAGTTATTATACCTTTAGAATGAAATAATTTGTATACTTTACAATCCATCAAAAATATCATGGGATCCTCTGTGAGCATATTGTACGATAAGAAATTCATTTCAACGGGACTGAAGGAGGAGAAATGTATATTTATGAACTGTCGGTTTGACTCGCCTCCATCACAAATTGCGTAATAGATACTAAAAAATAATAGGACATATAGCCGTAAGTATTATATCTTATTTTAATACGAGGCTCTTTGAAACATATGGTACCTAAATCCAGCTTTTTTCATCTGTAAGACACCTTCCCAGAATTGGATGTATAGAATAGTAGGTGGACATGTGGTGGTTGGAAAGTGTGCCACTGGAAATCGGAAACCACAGTCGCTTATAAAAACATATTGAAGCAGATGGGTTGCTACTTCCATTTTAGCTTCCGTTTTTCCTATACATGCAAACAGGAGATCGATAAGATGATATCAAAGCAAAGCAAACAGCATGCGCGTACTCACTATTCACTATTATTCTTTGAGGCGGGGTCAATAACTCTTTAAATTTTAGTAACCTGTCTCAATTAACTTCATATTTTCATAAAGTCCACCAAGAGAAACCAAGCCAATTAGATGGTGTTTGCCGTTTCGTACAGTCAATTGTAAATCTTCCTGTAAATGTAGGTTTTGTGAGTTGTAATCACATACAGGTACTCAAATATATACCATTCAATTATACTTAATGCTGTCATGCAGTCCTCCATTGATTTACGTTCAAATATATATACCTGTATTTTCATCTCATCAAGGACTAGACCACCCCAGTAATCTGCTGGTTTTAATTGATGCCTTTTCGCTTCACTTTGACACCAGTTGATAACCTCCTGATTCCAACCCGCTTCTTGGTTTACCGCGTTCTTGTAATATCTTAATGACAGGAGTTGGATCGAAGTTTTGATACAGGATAAAGTTATTGTATAAATCTTTCCTGAACATGTTAGCAGACAGCAATCGTGAACAAGTTTTTGAGTCAGTAAAATGATACATTAAAATAAATACAAACCGTATTAGACGATTACTTGGAAGGATTATAAATTGGCGAAGGGTGTCGAGAACGTGTGGGTTCTTGATGTATAAATCAAGTGCTAGTCGGACAATTTTACATATATATATATATATATATATATATATATATATATATATTTAGGCAGTTGATGAACCGATATTGTCCTGTTAATCTTCTACATAATTGTATTGTACCTAAAAGCATGTATACTCTCCAACAGCGAAAATGTTTCATTTTTCCCTCAGTCTGAGAAAGAATCATTGTAATTGGTACATTCATTATAACCGAGCTATTAGAGAAAATATAATTACAAACCGAGGGTGCCAACGATGACCATTTGCAGATTTTGATGCTAACTGCTTCATTTGCATGTCCCACAATAGTTTCATGTCTTCCGGGATGTTGTTCTTCAGCCCAATCTCCTCCGTTATCTGCAGTAGGTCATCATTATCGCATTTTTCAAATGACAACATTTCAATGTTCGCCTCGTTTCCGGCCAAATTCTGATTGCAGCTTGTTGGTTTTTCTTTCGCGTTACTAATTGGCAGGGTTACCTTTATACTCTCCTCGAGCTCACTTATGGAGTTGGCCAATTCCGCCCGCTCTGATCTTTTACATTTCCTATTCATACATAACTTGTACGCGTATTGACAAGCTTCGCATGCGGAGCTACCACTTGGAATCAAGAGCAAGCATGAATTCGAAATTATAGATGTTGACACAGCACTGGAAGACTTGATGCATACAAATCGGGAGCCTGAAACAGCAATGTCCACGCTTTTCGTATAATCGTTGTTATGGTCAGGAAGGTTTTGGCCTAAGCATAGACAGGTTGCATTAACATGACGTAAAGCCCTTTCAATCGTATGCAGTAAAACGATGATTTTTTCACTAGAACTTTCAACAACCTCAATTGGAACAGCATCACCGTGTGTGCGGATGACAATGTTAACCGTAGGGTACAAACTAATGGTGATCCCTGGAAAAACACGACACCCTTCTACATCTACATCTGCTTCACCTGTATTTGAGAGTCGCAAAAATGAAATGACACCTTTCTCCCGAGACGAAAGATCAACAATCCAGTTTTGAAACTTTCTACCAAGTACTCTAATGTCATCAACAGTTGTTTCATTGAAGCCTACGATTTCCTCTATATCTTTAAGCTTTATTTGGCGCATCTGGAGATGCCTATAACCCGATCCAGTTAACGAAGACGATTTCATTTTCACAACCTTGTTGCCCCATATCGAAGATACTATTCTTCCAACTTTAACTTCACTAACTGTTCCCTCTTGTGGTCCGCATATGCTCGACATACCCTGCATAATCGTTTTCGTGGAAGTAAAGCTTCCATAACTTAACTCGTAATTCTCAATCAGCCTATAAAATAAAATTCTATGTTTAGGCTTTTCGTGACCATTACATTCCGATGGGAAATTGGCGACGAAAATTTTAGATGCCATGCAATGAAATTTTGTTACAATCATTTATGCATAAAGTTCCAAGAGGCCGACCATTTAACTATCAGTTGCAAAACAGCATGGTTGCAGGAATCAATTTGACCAGTCCCAGAAGATCAGCTAGTTTGATTTTCAGGGACTAATGTAAGGCAAATTTCTTGTCGGAAAACTCCTCAAAATGCTGGAAATAGCTTATCTGAGCTTCAAGAAATCCAAATTTTTCGGGGGGGGGCATGCCCCCCATGAGCCTATACAATAAAATTCTATGTTTAGGCTTTTCGTGACCATTACATTCCAATGGGAAATTGGCAATGAAAATTTTAGATGCCATGCAATGAAGTTGTGTTATAATCATTTATGCATAAAGTCCTAATTACTTTTGCCGCACCTACCCCTCCCCGCAAGCTGGCAGCATCACATGATAACCCACGTGACTGTAAAATAACATTCTAACATTAACTGTCAATCACGGCGTGTGCTTCTTTTTTGAGTTTTTTATGGTTGTTTGCGATCGTTTTAAGCAATGCATGAAGCTACAGAAAACTCAACGTTAACTATAATTAAAGAATCTAAACAGTATAAGTGTGTAACAGTGTGCTTCAGTGTGCTTCTTTCTTGAGGTTTTTTTTATGGTTGTTTGCAATCGTTTTAGTTGGATTTAAGCAAAAGTACATCTTCTCAAGAATCCCTTTTTAAATCAGTCTTTTACTTATTGGTATCATTTGAAAAAGAATATGTACTTGCTTTGTCTACATGGCTGGGATCGAATTGCTTTTCAGTGGACCTCAGTCTGGATGAAAATGGATTTGCTTTCACAAACAGAGCGTTTTAAGAAATCATGCATCGTTTTAAAAACACTTTGTGGACATTGAAACGCATTTACTGTAATAATAATAAGCATTTGGATTTTGCCTTTGGAACGGTTATACGGTTGCATGGTTTCAACTTGGTCGCTCGGAAAAAGGAATATTTGTCAGACACTCCAGTCTGCAATCAATCGCCATTTTACTTGGTAAGTGAGTTTTAAAACAATCTCATAAGTACAGCATAAATGTTTAATAGCCGTCTGATGTTTGAAATACAAATTTCTGTGTGGCCTGAATCCGTAAATAAACTGATTTCCGAGCGTGCAATATTTTCGAGATAGAGTGAGTCCGTCGTTGGCGGCGTATAGCCGGTACAGTTGTTTTCGAAATATAGGCATAAAAAAGCTATTGTAAAATGCCGGCAATCAAGTTTAGTTCATATACATAACATAAAATAGCTAGGCTGAATAGACAGGCTTTGCTCATGCAACTTGTCCTTGCGTATATTTAATATAAATTGTTGCACATGCAGTTTAACATAACAGGATTCTGCCATTGGCATTGTTCCCGCTTTATTAATGAAACAAATACAAGTTTGCAGATTATTATAACAAATATTTTAAAATTAATAAAAGATATAGCAATTTCATTTACCAAACCAAGCACTTTCTCCTGGACCAAGCTTCTTTCCTTATTTTTGGATTGTTTTCCATTCAAACTATTAATTAAGTTTGTTAAAAGTATTTAAGTTTTACGAGTTTCTCTTTGAAGTACCGTACATTCATATATTTTATCATTTCGCGAATAAAAATACGTGAAATTCATGCGCTATTTTCTATGAGATAAAACACAAGAAAAATGGAATTTACCTTTCAAAACTTTTGCTTGCCTTTTCTAATATCCTCACATTTTTATTTCGTGTTTGAATCGATGAGCTTTTTTAAAAAAAATAGCGTTTTATTTTTGGGCTCCTTGGGCTTATATGTATTTTATTTATATACAAATACGAAGTAAGTTCGGGAGTGAAAATACGTGAAATTCAGGCACTATTTTATATGAGAAAAAGCAAAAGACAAATGGAATTTACCTATCAAAGTTGTCTCTTGTCTTCTTTAATATCCTCACATTGTTATTTCGTGCTTTTTAAGGCTTTTTTAAATAATGCAATGTTTTGTTTTAATACAAGCTCCTCTGTTCGCCATGTAGTATAAATGTCTTTACGAAGTGAATTCGGGAGTGAAAATACTTGAAATTTAGACGCTATTTTATACGAGATAAAGTAAAACACAAATGCTATTTACCTGTCAAAGCTGTTCTTGCCTTCTTTCAAAACTTTTCTTATTTCGCGCTCGCGCAGCAAGGTATTTAATTTTTTTCCTCTTTGTATAAATTTCCTAATCTATTTGTGACTTGTTGCTTTTGGAAAATTTTTAAGAAAATCCCCCCCTGGCAGCGAGAAATTTGATGTTCCCACAAAAAGTTTGTTTATTTTATCTAGCCAATGGGATCTTTAGGATCTGTGACGTCAGGCAGGTTTTGTGCATCCCAACAGCTGTTTGCCATTTCAAGCCCGAAACCGTTTATATTTCCTCAAAGTTCTTGTGTTTGCAATTGTTTTAAAGCGAAAAAAATACTTGTCAAATGCTTTAAAGAAATCAATGTTTATTTAGAGTTAGTTTTTTTTCTAAGTTTTTGTGTTTAAGTTGGAGTATTTTCATGTGTAAGTTTGTGTATATAGATCGTATAGGTCAAATGCCGCCCAGAAGTTGCCAACCTTTTAGTATATATATACCTAATCATTGCGATATGCTTCGCTTGCGCACGGCTGCGTTGTTATGTCAGCAGTTGAGTGACCATGGCTATACTTCATGCAGTTAATGCTATAAAGCTTATCAATGATAACAGCTATAAAACGATAAAACCAGCCGCTTATCGGGCAACCTGTGGTTTCTGTTTGGAAAGAAACGGTTTTTAGCCAAAATTATTTTGCGCGCCAATGTAGGCTGCTATAAAATGTCAGACACGCATTTTCTTTTGAAGTCTGGCTCTAAAAAACAATCGCTTTTTTTAGTTTGAAATAAGTTTTCATAAGGACTAATTGTGTAGAAATGTTATCTGTATGCTCAAATGAAAAAGATAACCTAATATTCAGGTATTCAACATAGCTATAAAAGGGTGAAATAAGGGCTTTCATCTTTGGTTGTTTGTCAGACATGAGAAACCACATTAGTGCCATTTTGTCGCGTGTGCTATTTTATAAAATAAACACCTCAAAAACATAAAATTTTAGTTCAGAAAATAACAAAGTTTCCCATAGACATTATTAAAAATGTTCTAGTGAAGCGATTTCATGATAAATAAGTGAGCTATGGGCCCAAAAGAACTGCTAAACTATGTTTTTGTTAGGACTTCAATTTCATGGCTTCCCACAAAGGAAGCCATTTCAGAAGCGGCATTTTGCAAGCAACAGTCGCGACCTATTTTTGATAACTTTTCCTTCTGATTCAACGTGTAGTTACTAGAAAATGAGGTTGCATCAACATTATTATCTGCTTTATCGATTTAAAGTTTTATGGGGATATAAAACCCAATAGAAAAAGCGTTTTAAAAGCTTTAGAACTCAAGTGCAGACTTTTTGAAAATTCGCACACAGCAAGCAAGCGCACTAATTCAATACACTTATTTTAAACCACAATATGTCTGAAACGAGTTGTCGTTTTAAGACTAAATTGATGAAAATAGATGTAACAGTGATTTTGGAGTATCCTACTTACTTAGTGTAATTTAATACTCGAAGTATTCTTGCCAAAAAGGGCACGTACGCACATAGTAATTTAATCTGGTGTCGTTTGAAACATACTTTAGCTAAAATAACAACTTGAACAAGAAGACCAACAATGGGGTTACGAAAACAGTCGAAATTGTGCCCAAATTTGCATAAACAGTTCGTCTAAAAAGATAACTTTAAACTAGATTCAACCAACTTTAATGTGGTCGAATTTGTGAGTGTTTGATCGCATATTTCTACTCAAAAATACCCTTAAAAATATCGTATCTGCTCACTTGAGTTCCGTGTTCACCTTTCTTGTGATTTCCCACTTCTATTTTTAATAAAGTTTGGAGAAATCCTCATCTTTTTGGCTGAAAATCTCGCGGATGGTTCACAGAAGAACTTGGCCCCAAAACGTCAATACATTCGATTTCCTTTCATGCCAAATTTTCGTTGTAGATGATTCAAAAACCTCTTCTTTCTTCGCTTTTAAAACTTGCTGTAAAACCATTCTTTGCAACAGTATCGCCATTGTTCATTATTTTTGAAAAACTATGGTTTTAAACTTGAAAAACTTTGTGAGTTTTTGGCTGATTTTCTTGCATGATACACTGTTGAAAAGCTCGAATTTCACGTTCTATTTTCGTATCCGTTGCTACGCAACCCGATAAACACATGCTCAGATATCATGCCCGCAAGTTAAGGAGTCATGTTAGGGCGCATTCGGGCTTATTGCCACTTACCCCCTTGCCAATCTCAGGGTGCATTGCCGCTTAATGAGTTAATAACCCATGATTTTGACCGAAAATTTTTATTTGATGAGTATGCAGCCATTTCTCATCGTTACGGTTTAAGAAATATATCGTAGAAAAAGCTAAATAACAGCTCTTTCGTCCTATGTAAAAATTGAATTGTTTAGTTAAGTCGGTGATGCACAATAGCCTGTTGAATTTCTGTAGCGTTTTTTTTAGACACCCTGTAGTGTGTGCAGTCTGAGATCAATATTTAAGTTCTAATTTCCCAGAACTGAAATCATTATAAGAAAAAGCGTAAATACATTACATGTACATGTTACATGTACATTTACCCAGTGCTGTAAGTAACTTTGTTACAAGTAACGAAATTACAAGTAATCGTTACTTTTTGAGTAACTAGTTACCTTTAAAATTAAGGTAACTGTAACTGTAACAAGTTACATTTTGGCTGAAAATGGAACGATAATGCATTACTTCTATAGCCGAAGTTTACGCTACTTTTTTCGTTACATTCATACTGTTTTCTAGGACGATAAAATTCGCGATTTCGCAAACTACCTGGAGAGAACAGCCTCTGGAGAACAGCTAAAAGTGCCGAGTCTGAGAGTAAAGTTACATAACGTATTTACCAAACATTTAACGTGAATCTGCTGACCACTAATCAAATTCATTTCTAAAGGCTCCGCTTTAAAGTTTACAAATATAAAATACAAACGTAAAGTTTCTTTGTTTAACTAATGATGATCAAGTATTAATTTTTTGGTCATGGCTCAATTAACATCATCATGCATGCATCCTTGGCCATATGTATCTGAAATGTTCGAATGCAAATCGGTTAATGACAAAAACGCGAAACTAATTTGTTTGCTATGTAAACCTATAGTTAAAGAACTATCGTCCAACGTAACATCAATTTCAAAATTACGGAAACATGTTCAGGTAGGTTGGCTTCAATACATATTATTGCATTTATTGGGTTTAATAATTATATAAATAGGTAACTATGTAAGCAATGTGCTAATCGTGTAATAAACATATGAGCTAGAAAGAACACACGGCTATATAAATAGACTTAAAGATAAAGTTATACAATTAAGACAGTGAAGACACTAGACAAGAAGCTTTTAACGTTGTAAAGTCATAACACCATAGTTCTTTAGTCCATGGTATCTCAGACAGATTTGTTCTTTTAGATGTCATATTCATATATCATACGTACTCAAATAGTCAAATTATATATTAAATTGGTTTCGTAACTGATTAATAAATTTAAATTTTTATCACTGATGAATCAAGATGTCATAATTGTCATTAGCAATCGTTCTCAATCCTCACCCAGTCTTACCCATCTAAGCTTAATATTACATGGTTTTGTATGCACTATTTCGTACGTTATGTTAAGACGCCCTGGATAGGTTTGCAAGATGGATCTCCAAAATTGATGACAATGCCCCCTGAACATCAACTAGTACATTTTTAACTCAATTCGATCCGCCAATATTAATTTCCGACGTATATGACGGGAAGATTAAATATTAAAGAACTTTGCGAGTATTTGCAGTAGACATACGAAAATACCACCAAAAAATTCCGTTTGATCGATACTATATATTCAGAAATATTCATATAATTTTATTGTTTCTCGCTCAATTTCAAGCGAATTTCTTAACTTGAAATGATCAATGCGGTGAAATTTATGCAAATGACACATCAATTTTGCTGTTGCATTTTGAATGTTCCGCCTGATTCAAATGCTCGTCTTTTTGCTTCTTTTCAACGTATAATAATAACAAATATACCAAAAGGATCGCCATCTTCCATTCTATAGCTCGGAGCAGTCTCGGGAAATTGCAAAATAATCTAAGCCTATTATGGCAATTCTCGTGATCGGAAAGTGTTCGGCCAACTTCGGACGCCAAATTCTTGGTAAAGCATTACAGCTTCCTGGTAAAAGACTGCAGGAATCACTTCCGGAGTGTTTGTTTACCCTAGATACGGATTTTGATTGGCTTAGGCAGAAAAACAAATCTTTTAGAGCAATTTTCATGATTATCGCCCACAGGAACGCACGAGCTTTGGCACAAGCGTTGAAATGTATTGTGTTGTAGTTTTGTTTGAATCGCATTCTGAAGACGTTTTTGGCTTTATTTTGCAAACTGATAGTGCTAGTAATGATGGAATGTCTTCGTATGAAGACAAGTATCTCAACCTGGCATTGGGAGTCGTGTCTGGAGTTTCAAGGCAAGTATTTGTATCATTTCTAGACAATTTCTATTTCAATGTTTTGCCGTTGCCATGGCATTGTAAATTTATTTGTATTTAGTATAGCTTCACTAGTACGACCAAGTATGTCCTCATATCGCTTCCCAGCCGGCACACGACGTCGTTTCGACGTCGAAATTTCGTCGAAATGAAGTCGAGACGTCGATCGACTAAATATCGACGTCGTTTCGACGTCACCTTCACGACGAATTATAGACGTCGTATAATCAACGTTGTTTCGACATCGCTCTGATAACGAGTTATCGACGTCGCAAAAACGACGTTGTTTCGACGTCGTTCTGATGCCGTTGTGGCGACGTCGTATCAGTGATCAAATTTAATATAAATACTATAAATTGGGTGAAGCCAAGATCGAGGCAAAAGAGTGTACTTCTTTAGGTATACTGAAACACGCGTGAATTTTGTGAGGTTTTCCAATCAATGTTTTTCAATTTTTGTACGCTCTTTTTTAGTGGCAAATACCCCACTTAAAAACTAAAGGAAGGATTGATGCAAGTGCAGTCTATAGTATTCGATGTTTAGTCCAAAACATAGATAGTTCATAGTTGGTGTTTCTACGCGGGATTTGGAAAAATTTGTACTCGTCAAATAACTTTGCTTTTTTGATAAAGTGTTTCTAAAATTTGCTCTGAAAGACCACTTGATAAGCCGAACTTAAAAAATGATCGCCTGACAAATTATAAAATTATAAATATATTCAGCAAATTTCCGCGTAGGGGCCTCGCTAGTTCAGTTCACTGGATCTACATGATACTCCAGTTACACATTGAGCGCACCGAACCGCCCTTAATATAACAGAGGTCCACCCCCCATATATCATCGAAGTGTGATGTTTTGTATTTGAATTTTTGGCGGTGGGACACAAGTCTTTCCCGATTTTTTGTATCATTTTATGTATATATCAAGTCTCGTTTATTCGCTGAACTAAATGGATCGTATTCTTGTAATAAAGCGCAATATTCGGTGAGTATTTTTATATTTTGTAGCGACTTATTTACACTTCAATTGATTGTGATTTGTGATAGATTTGATCGCATATATAAACATCGTAGACACATATAAAAATATATTTAAATATCGACCTATAATCCGTATTACAGATGATATTTCTTATAATAGTTTTCTAAATGACAGTCTATTTGTTATTATATTTTAGAGTGAAGAATTTTGCTTATTTTAAGTATGGTATTCGGACTACTTTCCTATGAAGAACTCCAGGCAAGGTATGCATCTTTTATCTTTCTACAGTAGATCGAATTTCTCTCTTGTTTATAAATCATACTGTAGACTGCATATATATTAAATGAAAATGTTATGCTAATTCTTTGCCAGTATTAACAATATAATGGTGCTAAGGTTACATTCATATATTAAAAAATGAGCACAAGAAAGGCAAACACTCACTGATTTATATTTAACCAAATTATCTGCTAATGGCAATGTTGGCCAAATTTTCAACCATTACTGGGCTAGCCTGGTATCTCACTTGACTCAAACAGGGTGCCCGATCAGCGAGGCTGAAAATATTTGCCCATGATGTGAAGTCCCCAGCCTTCATCTTCATTGAGTTTACATCAGACAGTTGCAAATACTTTTCTCAACCCGTTGCCAATGTCTTAATTGAAGAGGAAAATAAACTAAATATAGCCTCTATCTCTACATACAAGTATGATCTAAATCATATACAGTACAGTAATTATTTATCATTGCCACTACTATTATGCTATTCCATGCCGGCCCAATATTATTGACCGTAGACCATTGACCGTAGTAGACCTTGTATGTAGATTCAAGTATGATCTAAATCATCTACAGTACAGTAATTATTTATCATTGCCACTACTATTTAACAATTAGACAACGAGGCCGAGTTGTCTATGAGCGAATAGTCAACAAGGCGAAGCCGAGTTGACTATTTGCTCATAGACAACGAGGCCGAGTTGCCTAATTGTTTTAGTATAAACTTTAACATTAATTTACAACTAGGCTGCAAACACAATACAAAAATACACAAAAAACATTATCAAACCATTAAAGGTAAACAAATATTTTAGTTTTTGTTCGCGTAAAATGTTTTACAAAATTCAGTTTTAATTTTGAAATTTCATTGAGTGTATGTTATTTTGTCTATTTTCTTACTCTTAAAAATTGCCATTCCATATTTTTGTTGCTTTTTCGGGGTTTTTTAGTACAGAATTGTTGAACAAGTCGTCCAAAAAAATCATCAGACACTTCGGCAAAAGTGCAAAATGCGAATTTTCCGCCATTTTGAATTTTCTATTAGTAGGCTATCACTAATAGCCTACTAGTAGCGTAGCCAATCAGAAGCCATGATATGTGATAGCCTACTAGTAGGTTTATACTAATATGCTATATTCCATGCCGGTGTCGCAGTTGATTTGGACCTCCCGGTCCAAATCTACTAGTGGATATGGACCCCCGGGGGTCCAAATCTACTAGTATTTATGGACCCCTGTTGGCGGATTTGGACCCCTTCAAAAGTTAAATATATGTGACTTCAAAAGTTAAATATATGTAATGTGAACACAATAATATAAACCAAATTCATAATAGCGATCAATCTGAAGTATTTTATTACTTTTACCACCAAGTAATGATAAATTATTGTTTACTTAATAATTTTTTATTTTTTGGATGCTCAGAATGCAGGAAATTGCATTTCCGGGTTTCAAATTACAAAAATTTTCTGGGAATTATCCCTCTAATCGGTAATGATAAATTACGGTTAATATTCTTTTTTACTTTTTGTGCATTTTCCCTTCTATTATTTCAAATACAAGTATAGTTAGCATAAATTTTAGAGCAAATTTGGATGCTCAGAATGCAGGAAATGGCATTTCCGTGCTTCAAATTTCAAAAATTTCCTTGGGGAGTACACTCCCACCCCCCCTCCCATTCATGCGTGGTATATTGGCCACACATGTTGCCTCCAGCCATTGCTATCCCCCTCTAATATATTACCTCACAGAAAGGTCCCTTTTCAAAAAATGCCCCTCCCCCGCTCGAGAAAATCCTTTAAAAAGGCCCTGTTGGTCGTGACCTGGGATAGTTAATACTTAAACATTAATTGGTTAACATACAAAATTGAAAAGCACAGCTTAAATAATAATAAAAACATTCATATATATGCTCGTTGATATTTCACAATATCATCGAGTAGCCTGAAATGTCAGGCATTCTAAGGTTTCAATAAATAAACATTCAATATTTACTTGGCAACTGGCTACAGTGTTACACCAAATGAGAAGATAGGTGGATCCAGTGTCAAAGACAATGTCCGCGACGTAATGAGCAGGTAGTTACAGTTTCATCAGTGTACAGTATGATAATTCTGGAGCCTGTTATTTCAACCTGGGTTTTGTGTTCCTCGTAGCAAAAACGTAGGTCTGGTTAATTTTTTTAGAAACGTTCATGCTTGAGAGTGATATTTTTCGTCAATTGCAGCGGTACACAAGGCACAAACATTCATTAAATGTTGTATTAACTTTGAAACAAACCGGTTATACTCTACATAACTAGTATGGAACTATCGCCCTGAACTGGGTACGAAAAATTGCTACTATAGCTCTGCAAACGTCAAATAAAAAGATTAGGGTTGGTGATTTCAGTAGCCAACAGCTATAGGCACGTTCGGGGAAACCGAACAATGAAAAACCCATTGCGAATATAATATCTATGATCACAAGACAAAGTTGCTTTAGGATCACTAATTAAATTCTGTGTCTGAATGCTTATTATTTCTCTGCATGTATTTTTACGAATTTTCTTATTCTTTAGATTAATGACCAGCGAGCTTATGTCAACCCTAAACATGGGTGGGCATGGCGATAAAACAGATAGGAAAGGTGGTGAGAAACAAGAGAAACACAAGACAAGAACACATCGGTAGCATTTATGAACTATATTTATGTTAAATATTTTTGTGTGTATTTATGTATATGTTAAATGAATAAATATTTTGAAAAAAATGTCCAGCGTTGGGTTTGGGTTCAATTGACGTAGAAACATGCATGTCAAAATGACGTCATTACTCCAATGTCGATCATTTGCATTTTCACCTGCTTTTAAACATCGATACAACGTCAAAAATGAAACATGGAAACGAAATGGATTTCCAGACGTTGAAACGACGTCGATTCATAGACGTTGAAACGACGTCGATTTCCAGACGTTGAAACGACGTCGATTTCTCAACGTCGATTCCGTTTGCGTTTTCAACCTTTTTTCGACGTCGATTCGACGACATCCTCGGACGTCGTTTCGACGTCGCTTTGCCGGCTGGGTTTTTTGTGTTGAAATAATCTTTTCATACTGAAATTGACAAATATAAATGGTATTTATTTATATTGTTGATGAAAATTTATGGTGTTTTAGGCATAAAAATCTCTGATTCCTAGGCGAAGTAAAATGAGCCTTGAGCACATGTTTGGTTGTTTGTTACATACATAATAGCCAAGTATTCATACTTATATCTTACTAGTTGGCTCTTAATATAATTTTAAGTGGCACCATGTCTATAAAAGTTTTTATTTGCACTGATTTATATATTGATCCTGTTCCTATCTGCTGTTCCTGTTTCATAGCCTCAGGGAAGTAGAGTTCTGATGAGTCATGAGAACCCCACTCACTAACCCAGAGGGAAGGTAGGGGGATGAGTAGAGGTAGAGGGAAGCCCAGCCATTAGGACCTAAGGTTTCGAAAGCTCCCTGTCTAGCAGCCCCACTAGGCCTCATAGTACATGACGGATATGATGATCCTGATGCTAGGAATGTTCTCCCAGATTTTGCTCCTCACTGACAATATGCAGGTTTGCTAAAGGTCGACAGTGAGATTGAAAATTATTGGAGTGTAAAAACCTTTTATCATGGTCTGTGGACAATAGACATAATTTCTCGGGTTAGGTACTAAAGACTACAGCAAAAAAAATGCATCAACAACTGTACCAGCCATCACAGAATATTGTTGTTGCAGATAAACACACTGTCAAATCAAGAAATAGGTTGGGGATTAGGCAGTTCATGAAAGCTAGATGACCTACTATGTGGGGAATAAATCTGTGGGTTGCTGCAGACAATCCTAATGGTTATATTGCGACTTTGAAATTTATACAGGAAGAAGTCCAGATATTCATCACAGCAGATTTGGGTATGACGTGGTGATCTGATATCAGTTTGGTTACAGCCTTAGGTCTTTTGTAGTACAATATAAAGGAAATAGTTTCACCACATAATCCTATTATGTGCTTTGGCAAACATTACTGCTTTAGCAAACATTACTGCTTTGGAAAACATTACTTTTTTATAACTACTAATTATGATGATGCCAGTCCAACAACACTTGGTCATGCTATTTGCAAATATTTTCATGTTCTAGATTGTGAAAACAATCAATTTCTAAACAAATGAGTAGTGATTATTTCAAATTTGAATAGCATGACCAAATTTTGAGGCTGGTTATGACACAAATAACTTAAGTCAATGGTGTAATGATTATCTAAGAATGTATGTAGTAATTGTAGAAATAAAGGCATTTTGCTAATCATGATTTGAGTGTTCTTTTGTGGGTATCACAGATTTATTTTGGTGCCATACTATCTTTGGAGAGTAAGAAATATTGGAAATTTGTATTGATAACATGTTGCAGCAATAAAAAAGGATCTTTGATAAAGGTATTTGTTTCATGTGAGCACAAAATGTAAATTTTACTCCACTACCTAGTTTATATAAAAATTCAATAAAAATATTTCTATTTATGCTACATGCATGAAACTTCGGGTACTTGTAGATCTATCATAACCGTGTCTTTCAGTCATATTCATAAAATTTTTTGACATATTTGAACCGCTAAATACATTTATGCATAATTGAAATTGGTATCGTTGGAAAGCAGAAGTCCTCCTCTTTCGAACGATGCAATTTCTGTTTCCGTGCGATGTATAGTTTGAGAGATATAAGCGTTTGAAACAACACCACTCGAAATTGCTACTTTTTCACCGGATGGGAATGAGTTAATTATATTATATTTACAAATTTTAGAGGGTACATCCACATAAAGGAGGACTGACCGCTTATACCGTTATGCTTTGCACCACACTATATTATCAAACGCGCGAGCAGGCGAAGTGTCATTCTCAAAGATGGACGCTTTGGGCGAACATGAAAGTCAAGCGGAGATTTTTCAAGATTCGACTATTTTATACCTTCATTGTGTTGATACATAATATCCATTACAGCTTAAAATTGCCGGCTTACCACTATTGAGGATGGAGGGTTATGTTTGTCACTTCAGCTTTATGAATTCGTTGTCAAATCAGTGAATTTGTATTTTGCCAAACAGCGCTGAACTTCTAAGGAAAATTGATGGAGTAAATTCACCCTGTGTTATAAATGTGACTTCAAGTGTTGTATTCAAGGTGAGTTACATTTTATTTACTGTGTTAGTTCGCAATAAATAACTAGGGATCCAAGGATAGTGCAAAGTCTCAAATTGAGGAAGACAGTTTAAGACACTGCAAGTGTATGGGGGCACAAAGTGGAAAACACAGAGTCTTATTAAACTAGAATCTTTGGACAAAATAAACAAATTTTTAACAGACTCCGCGTGGGAAACGCAGAGTCTCATTAAAATCGTATAGGAAAATTAAAATCGAAATAGGAAAATAAACTATGTTTTAAAGACTCCATACTCCGCATTCCATACTCACAGATTTTTCAAGATTCGACTATTTTATACCTTCATTGTGTTGATACATAATATCCATTACAGCTTAAAATTGCCGGCTTACCACTATTGAGGATGGAGGGTTATGTTTGTCACTTCAGCTTTATGAATTCGTTGTCAAATCAGTGAATTTGTATTTTGCCAAACAGCGCTGAACTTCTAAGGAAAATTGATGGAGTAAATTCACCCTGTGTTATAAATGTGACTTCAAGTGTTGTATTCAAGGTGAGTTACATTTTATTTACTGTGTTAGTTCGCAATAAATAACTAGGGATCCAAGGATAGTGCAAAGTCTCAAATTGAGGAAGACAGTTTAAGACACTGCAAGTGTATGGGGGCACAAAGTGGAAAACACAGAGTCTTATTAAACTAGAATCTTTGGACAAAATAAACAAATTTTTAACAGACTCCGCGTGGGAAACGCAGAGTCTCATTAAAATCGTATAGGAAAATTAAAATCGAAATAGGAAAATAAACTATGTTTTAAAGACTCCATACTCCGCATTCCATACTCCGCACTCCATCATTTCCAACATGTCCTTCTGCATCCTATATCATTTCTATATTTAGAGAGCCAAATGCACATGTGCTGTATGGGTGCCTTCAGCAATGCACTTATGCACAGAGTATTCTTTGGTTTCAGTGTACTGAGTGTTTAACTCATTCTCATCCGGTGGAAAAGTAGCAATTTCGAGTGGTGTTGTTTCAAACGCTTATATCTCTCAAACTATACATCGCACGGAAACAGAAATTGCATCGTTCGAAAGAGGAGGACTTCTGCTTTCCAACGATACCAATTTCAATTTCATCCGGAGCTTGGTTAACGATTTACTCGCATAAATTTGCATAAATTATGATATAAAAAATGTTGCAATTATGCATAAATGTATTTAGCGGTTCAAATTTCAAATATGTCAAAACATTTTATGAATATGACTGAAAGACACGGTTATGATCTACAAGTACCCGAAGTTTCATGCGTGTAGCATAAATAGAAATATTTTTATTGAATTTTTATATAAACTAGGTAATGGAGTAAAATTTACATTTTGTGCTCACATGAAACAAATACCTTTATCAAAGGTCCTTTTTTATTGCTGCAACATGTTATCAATACAAATTTCCAATATTTCTTACTCTCCAAAGATAGTATGGCACCAAAATAAGTCTGTGATACCCACAAAAGAACACTCAAATCGTGATTAGCAAAATGTCTTTATTTCTACAATTACTACATACATTCTTAGATAATCATTACACCATTGACTTTAGTTATTAGTGTCATAACCAGCCTCAAAATTTGGTCATGCTATTCAAATTTGAAATAATCACTACTCATTTGTTTAGAAATTGATTGTTTTCACAATCTAGAACATGAAATTATTTGCAAATAGCATGACCAAGTGTTGTTGGACTGGCATCATCATAATTAGTAGTTATAAAAAAGTTATGTTTTCCGAGGCAGTAATGTTTGCTAAAGCAGTAATGTTTGCCAAAGCACATAATTGGATTATGTGGTGAAAATATTTCCTTTATATTGTACTACAAAAGACCTAAGACTGTAACCAAACTCATATTAGATCACCACGTCATACCCAAATCTGTTGCGATGAATATCTCGACTTCTTCCTGTATAAATTTCAAAGTCGCAATATAACCATTAGGATTGTCTGCAGCAACCCACAGATTTATTCCCCACATAATAGGTCATCTAGCTTTCATGAACCGCCTAACCCCCAACCTATTTCTTGATTTGACAGTGTGTTTGTCTGCAACAACAATATTCTGTGACTGCTGGTACAGTTGTTGATGCAGTTTATTGCTGTAGTCTTTCGTACAGGATCTACCATATTCACAAACACCATAAGCGCTTTGTACCTAACCCGAGAAATTATGTCTATTGCCCACAGACCATGATATAAGGTTTTTACACTCCAATAATTTTCAATCTCACAAAATCTGGGAGAACATTCCTAGCATCAGGATCATCATATCCGTCATGTACTATGGGGCCTAGTGGGGATGCTAGACAGGGAGCTTTCGAAACCTTAGGTCCTAATGGCTGGGCTTCCCTCTACCTCTACTCATCCCCCTACCTTCCCTCTGGGTTGGTGAGTGGGGTTCTCATGACTCATCAGAACTCTACTTCCCAGAGGCTATGAAACAGGAACAGCAGATAGGAACAGGATCAATATATTCATCAGT